TGATATTCATTTATCAATTAAAGATTCAAATGTATCTTTAAAAAAGTTGTCTCAATCAAAAATTGAAGAGCATACACAATCCCAAGTATTAATAAATCAAAACATTTGGCTGTCAAAAGTAACGCACACGCATTTATTTGAAAATTTAGAATTAAGAGAGCAGAGAATACTTGAAGGATTAGAAGACAATGGATGGCTAAATGATACACATATTACTAATGGAATGTATATAACAAGATCTCTATTATCAAATTCTAATGCATTGAACTTTGAGCCGTCATATTTATTTCATCCTTCATACAATTATCTTAAACCTCGAAATTACTTCAGCTATTCTGGACAAAATATGCATTACATAATTAATCCAGGTGGTCATTGGATATATATACACGTGAAATATGAATCAGATATAATTACATGTAATGTCTACGATTCATTGAATTCTAAATCTACAAATAATTTTATAATTCGCGTTGTGAGTGCTCTTATTAGAAAAATAGAAATTACTCCACTTATATATTATCGCATTTGGAAAGTAACTAAACAGCCTAATGCTAAAGATTGTGGAATATACGCATTAATAAATATGGCGTATAATTGCTCTAATATTAACCCAAGTACACGAAATGTCTTAGATTCCAGTGATGCTTTAAGAAATCGATTGCGTGAATGGTATGAAACAGGAAATCCATCATTGCCAAAGTCAGAAATAATTAATGAAACGCTATTATTATCACAAGTAGTAAAATCATTACATTGTCAATGCGGTCAAACAGAAGATAATAATATGATTCAATGCATAAATTGCGGTGAAAAGTATCATCAAAAATGTTTAGATATAACTCTTTCAGTAATACCTGAAAATTTTATTTGTAATAATTGTCAAAATATTGATTTTGATTTCATTGACATATCCAATTGATTATATATATTTTATTAAATGTTGTATTTTTTGAATTAAGTAAATATAGTATATAATAAATTATTTATATTTGTAAATTTTTATTGATTAATAATTTAAAATAAAAATTTTTAATATTCATATTGTCAATTCTTACTATTAGTAATAATAAATTAATAAAATCCAATTCAAGGAATTCGTGTGGAAATGCTTTCTAGCATTCTCAACTGGTTAATATTATGTTTTTAAAAAACATTAATTACTTTAATTGTTTTTATATTTTACTAATAATAATAATGTTTTATTACCATTACGATAGAAACTTGTTTATAATTTGAAAAATTTGAATATTTATAAAAAAAAATATTTCTATTAATTACATATTCAAAGATAAGTTTAAATTTAATAAAAGTTATATTAGGATATTATAATAAATACTAAATTATTACAATTATTACATAGTTTAATAACATTTAGTTTTATCTATAAAATTTTTTTAATTATGATTCAAATAAAAATTAAATAAACATTAATGAACTTATTTTATATAATTAAATAATATATATATATATATATATTTATTAATATTGTTATATTTATAGAAACAAAATGTTATAAATTATTTAGTTTCTAAATATACTGTACTATTTAATAGTGTATTAATTGTACTAAAATAACATATTAAACAAATCAATATTTAATATTAAATTAATTAATTTTTTATTTATTTATAATTTTATATATTTTATGAGAGTTCATGTAATTTCAATATCAATATAATTTAGTAAAATATTTCAATAATAAGTACAACAAATAAAAATAGTTTTTATTATAGTTGTTATTCTATCTCTAATAATAAAAAAAAATGTCTAAAAATATTAATAATAAACTAGTTATCATTGATAGCTTGATATATAATTTTTCAAAAAAATGCTATCAAATGGGTTTACCAAAAACATATCCCACTTATGAGGACAGGGATCACAAATCAAGTATATTAAATAAACTTAAATATATTGAATTAATACGTGTATTGATATCATTTATATTCAATGACAATAAATATATTGCTATATTGATTGGCGATTGGTTTTATGTATGGACTAAAACCAAAATATTTATGAAAATTAGTCTATTATTATCCATATGTCTAATATTTTTACTAACATTTGATGCAAATTATTATTATTATTATTATAGAAAAAATTTACTATTATTTAGTCGTAAAATATTCAATACTAAGCAAATTATTTATAGGAATAAAAATAATACTAATTATAATTATTATTCAAATAATTTTATTAATAAATTTTTCAACATATTATCATTAATTTTATTTATACAATACCAGTGTACAACATTAGTATCAATGTCATTTTATATTGATTATCTAAAATATTTATTTAGTATCGGATTGATAATTTATTCAATATATTTTAGTTTTATATATACATGGATGATAAAATTTCTAATCTATCATGTTACATTATTTTGTTTGATATGCCTGGATGAAACATTAAAATTACACAAAATAAATTTACAATTGTTAACAATAATTAAAACTACTACTAATAATAATAATTATAATTATAAATTTTCAACAACAAAATTATCAATTAAATTACTAAAATTAACCAGACACATTGAATTAGTGAATCAAAAATGGTCTAGGTCATTAGGTTATTATTGTATACTATGTACAATAATTATATCGACAATAACATGTTGTCTAATATTTACCCGGGTCAATCTGATTATATCAATAGTTTTACTAACAAGTCTATCAATAATATTTATGACAATTACAACAATCATTTTGTTTGCCAGTCGTATCAATACCAGTGCTAAACAAACTGAAAAATTATTAAACAATTTATATGTGAAAAAACTATTAAATTTTTTAATAAATAAAAAATTTCCTAATAATAATAATAGACTATCTAGAAAATTATTATTATTTACAAATAAATTTAAAGTATGATACAAGTTTTTTTTTGAAAATTTTTTTTAACTATTAATTATTAGTTTTTTAATTAATTACTATTATTTTTAATAATAGTTAATAAAACTAATTGAAATGTTTGCTAAACATAGGATTGGTTTTTATTGTTGGAAATTGTTTCTCATCAATCAATTTACATATAATTTGGTAAATTAATTAAATAATATGTTTTTTTTATAAATATTAATAATTTTATAAATCTATTAAATATTATTAATAATATTATAAATCTATTCAATACTATTAATAATATTATAAATCTATTCAATATTATTAATAATATTATAAATCTATTCAATATTATTAATAATATTATAAATAAATTTAATGTTATTGAATAGATTTATAATATTATTAATTATACTATAAATTTATTCAATATTATTATATTAATGATAAAAATGTTTATAATTGTATTTATTTATAGTTTCTATATCTAACTACAAAAACAACATTGAAATTATTAAAATTTATTATGTAAGATAATTATTACAATAAATACTAATAATTTTTATTTATTGTGATATTAAATTATGATAATTTAATTTATTATTATTAATATATTATTATTAAATTTTTTACAATTTTTTTCAGACATCAACAACAACTATAGATAAGTTTTTATTTTTTTTAATACATAATTTGTTTATATTTAATATCATATTAGCAATTATATCATATATAGACTGACCACCCATACAGGTGCCGCCTGTATTATACAGGAATCAAGGGTCTAATACAGGTGACAGGAAAGGGCTAACCTGTATAATAAAATATACAGTTTTAAAATATGTAAAACTAATTGATTAATAAAAGTATAAAATAACTATGAATTAAGTTTTGTTAGTAAAAAATTGCTTGTATTTTTAATATACAGTTTAAATATTTCAAATATTTTTTTTAAATATAAAAAATTTATAAATATTTGTAAAATTGTTCATATTCAATATAAAATAATTTCAACTTTTCAAATCTAAATTAAATTTATTTTATAGTATTATAAATATATACGAATATATAGTTATTTAAGTACAGGTTAACATACAGGAATATAATATTTAATATACAGGAAAATACAGGTGAAATTAATAATTTTATACTATTATACAGGTTTACTAATAAATTGGGTGGTCAGTCTAATCATATATGATGTATATTAATTTTATGTTAATTATAATAAGAAAAAAAGTATATATTAAATAAAAAATTCTGTGATTTTATTATATATTTAAATAAATAAAAATCAGTTAGAAATTAATAGATATATATATATAAGTTTACATTTATAAAAAAAAAATTATCAAATTAGGAAATGTTTTCAAAAAATAAATAACTAAAATACAGTAAATTTAATATATAATTTAAATTATAGACTGTATATATCTTTAATTATTTTTTTTAATGACCACTGTCCTATAATCTAACATATCCTAATATCAATAGTTTTTACGGCAATTGTTATACGGCTCCGAAACCTAATCAAACACAGGCGCCATATAATGACAATAATTAATTTAAAAAAAAATAATTGAAGGTTAACTAAAAAATAGACATAAAAATTACCGTATTTTTTAAATTATTAGATAATTGAATTTGATTTAGCAAACAATTATTTATAAATATTACAAAATATATCTATATTTATATATATATATTTATATAGATGACATAATAATCAGTAATTACCAGTCAATGATAATGATAACATTATTATTTATATTAAAAAAAATCAAATTAGCATATTTATTATTTAATATTTAATAATTATATTAATAATAAATAAGATAATTTAAATATAAATACTATTTAAATTATTAATAATAATAATTTAGCCTTGATGATGCATGATAACTTGTTTGCATTTAAAATAATTTATTATTAATAATTTTTTTGAAATAAATAATTTTTAAGATATACTATATTACATATATAACATTAATAAGTTTATTTGATTGATACCGTAGTGTAATAAATATATAATAGTTATTAAATTAAAGTAAAAACTGTTATATATATTACAATTATTTTTTTAAAAAACATTTTTTTTTAATAACTATAAATAATATGAAATTCATAGAAACAAAATTTTTAATTACATTAGTTTATCAATTAGTAATTTTGTTAAACTTATACAATTGTTTTTATATTAATGATAACGATGATAATAATAATTCAACCAGCACCAATAGTAGTAGTGTAATCATCAATGGCACAGGTAGGTCATATAATAGCAAACCTAACCAAACTGGTTAATATGCTTAAAAAAATGTATAATTTTATACCCAAAAAATAAATAGATAACCGACCGCCGGACCAACAGTGGTGGGACGAGCAACCAGTGGCCAGTATATGCGGGTCGACAGGTACGGCCATACGTATTGTCGGCGGTCGCGAAGCCAAACCCCAGAGCTGGCCGTGGATGGCCGGTCTGGCGCGTAAAACCGAGAAACGGGACGTATTTTGCGGTGCCAGCCTAATCGACCGGCGCCACGTCGTAACGGCTGCACACTGTATGGCCCTGTTATTCGGTGGCCAACATCAACCCGATAAACTTGTGGTCAGATTGGGTGCACACAATATGGACGCCAACGATACTAATGATGAACCCGAAGCCCGAGACTATGAGGTCGATGCTATTGTTTCGCACAACGAGTTTTCAGTGTCGACCAAAGTCAACGATATAGCTATACTGAGGCTAAAGTCGCCGGTAGTGTTCGGTATGGCTGTCCGTCCGATTTGTTTGCCCGATCCCACCACTACTGGTGACGTGTCGTACGCCAACGAAACGGCTGTACTGGCCGGTTGGGGTAAAACCAGTGAGACTGGACCCGATAGTCGGGTACTGTTGGAAGTGGATGTTCGGGTCTGGAATAATACCGACTGTAATGAATCGTTGGGCGATGTCAGCCGCATAACCGATACTATGGTGTGCGCCGGTATCAAGGATGGCGGCAAAGATACGTGTCAGGGAGACTCGGGCGGTCCACTGATGCACAAACGCCAATCGGACGGCAAATGGCAACTGATTGGTGTCGTGTCGTGGGGTCGCGGCTGTGGCCAGGCTAACAGTCCCGGTGTTAACACACGTATTACACGCTATATCGATTGGATCAGTAAGCATACCAATGAAGGAAATGAAACTACTGTTCCCACCGATACCAATAGCACACTAACTACTACTACTACTACTACTACTATATCTACTATTATTACTACGACTACTACTATAGATACTACAGTTCCTACACCGGCTGCTAATGGTTCGTCAATGAGCGACCAATGGTGGGACACACAGCCTGTCGTAGAGCTATGCGGTGGAACCGGTATCGGCACCCGTATAGTCGGTGGTCGACCAGCCATACCGAACTCGTGGCCGTGGATGGCCGGCATTGTTTCCAAGGGATCCAACAAACCCTTTTGTGGCGGTACACTAATCAGCCGACAATTGGTGGTAACGGCGGCTCACTGTATGAAAAGTATTTACGGTAGCAAACAGCCCGACAATATAATGATACGTTTGGGTGTACACGATGTTGAAAACACTACCGAACCCATGGCCAGAGACTATACGGTTGAATCGATAATTGTTCACAAAAATTATACAGACGTTGAAAATGGTTACGATATAGCGCTAATCAAGTTGAAGGATAGGGTTAAACTTAGTCCAGAGGTTCGGCCTATTTGTTTGCCGGCCAGTCTTAATCATAGCGATCACAATACCTATGAAGATAAGTTGGCAATGTTGGCCGGTTGGGGCCGTAAAGTAGAGTTTGGTTCGGGTAGTACTGAGCTTATGGAGGTTGAGGTTCAGGTCTGGAATAATACGGCCTGTAATGAATCGTTGGCTAAGTTTAATATAATTGACAGTATGGTGTGCGCTGGCGATCGGGCCGGCGGTAAGGACTCGTGTCAGGGCGATTCTGGCGGTCCACTCATGTATAGGCGCCCGGCGGACACCAAATGGGAACTGATTGGTATTGTATCGTTCGGTGCCGGCTGTGGCCGCGAGAATAGTCCCGGTGCTAACACAAGGGTTACACATTATATTGATTGGATTAGTGATAACTGGTCGCCGGTTGAGGACATGGATAATAATAACAACAACACTATAGATACAGATAATACTAACGTTACGACAGTATCGCCGACGCCGTCGCCGACTACTACTACTACTAGTATAACACCAAACGATACGACAGTATTGCCTACTAATAGCACATCATCATCAATGAGCGACCAATGGTGGGACACACAGCCTGTCGATGAGCTATGCGGTGGCACCGGTATCGGCACCCGTATAGTCGGTGGTCGACCAGCCATACCGAACTCGTGGCCGTGGATGGCCGGTATTGTTTCCAAGGGTGACAACGATCCGTTTTGTGGCGCAACTCTAATCAGCCGACAATTGGTGGTGACGGCCGCTCACTGTATGAAAAGTTATTTCGGTCGGAAACAACCCGACAATATAATGATACGTTTGGGTGTACACGATGTTGAAAACACTACCGAACCCATGGCCAGAGACTATGCGGTTGAGTCGATAACTATACACAAAAAATACATAGACGTTGAAAATGGTTACGATATAGCGCTAATCAAATTGAAGGATAGGGTTAAACTGAGTCCAGAGGTTCGGCCTATTTGTTTGCCGGCCAGTCTTAACCATAGCCAACACAATACCTATGAAGATAAGTTGGCAATGTTGGCCGGTTGGGGCCTTAAGATAGAGAGCAGCAGCTCAGGTAGTAATGTGCTTATGGAGGTTGAGGTTCAGGTCTGGAATAATACGGCCTGTAATGAATCGTTGTCTCAGTTTAACATAGTTGACAGTATGTTGTGTGCCGGCGATCGGGCCGGCGGTAAGGACTCGTGTCAGGGCGACTCTGGCGGTCCACTCATGTATAGGCGACCGACGGACACCAAATGGGAACTGATTGGTATTGTATCGTTCGGTGCCGGCTGTGGCCGCGAAAATAGTCCCGGTGCTAATACAAGGGTTACACATTATATTGATTGGATCGGTGATAACGGACTGATAGAGGACATGGATACTAATAACACCACCACCAACAACACTACAGATACAGATAATACTAACGTTACGACAGTATCGCCGACGCCGTCGCCGACTACTACTACTACTACTAGTATAATACCAAACGATACGATAGTATTGCCTACTAATAGCACATCATCATCAATGAGCGATCAATGGTGGGACACACAGCCCATAGAGGAGCTATGCGGTGGTTCCGGTATCGGTACACGTATTGTCGGCGGTCGACCAGCCGTACCAAACTCGTGGCCGTGGATGGCCGCTATAATCCGAAAAGAAAGTGGCCGACTATTTTGTGGCGGTACACTAATCAATCGATACTATATTGTAACGGCTGCTCATTGTTTAGAATCGGGTGATACTGGACATCCCGATAAACTACTGGTGCGATTGGGTGCACACGAGTCGAACAATCCGAATGAATCCGAAGTGGCCAAGAGTTACGCTGTCGAGTCTATCCTATTGCACGGTAACTATACGGACAGCAACCAGGGCTACGATATAGCTGTAATCAAATTGAAGGACAGGGTTCGGTTGAGTCCAGAGATACGTCCGGTTTGTTTGCCTCAAGCTTTAGATCAGATGGATAGTGACAACGATACCTACGATGACAAGGATGCTGTACTAACTGGTTGGGGTCGTACTGCTGAGGAATGGGGCGGCTCGGGTAGCCAAACGCTTATGGAGGTCCAGGTACAGGTCTGGAACAATACCGCATGCAATGAATCGTTAAGTCAGTTCAATATAATACCGAATATGTTGTGCGCCGGCGATCGGGCCGGCGGTAAGGACTCGTGTCAGGGCGACTCTGGCGGTCCGCTTGTCTACAGGCGCCCGGCGGACACCAAATGGGAACTGATTGGTGTTGTATCGTTCGGTGCCGGCTGTGGCCGCGAAAATAGTCCCGGCGTTAACACTCGGGTTACACACTATGTTACCTGGATTAAGCAGCATAGTATTGAGGAACCGGTAGTTAATCAAAATACGACTACCCTTTAAAAATGTCTAATCATTTTCATAATACAGTATATAAATTGTTTTACATGTATGTCTAGACAGTGAGTGATATATGATTTTTTTTTTGAGTGACAATTAATTAATTAATTCAAAATAAATAATAAATTGTAATCAATTGCTAATTTTTTTTCAAAATTTTCAAATGTTAAATATTTTATTATTTTTTGGTTATGACTTATAATTTTATAATTATTAATATTTGTTAATTTTATTTAATAAGTACTGTTTGTACTAATGTTTAATAAAATTTATATTATGAAAATATTATTATTATTATTATTATACTTAAAAAATAAACAATAATTAATAAATATCTCGCATTTTTTTAAATAATATATATTTATAATTTAAATTTCATATTAACTATTTATAATAGCAGTCTAACAATTAATTATATATTTGTTTAATATTTTGAATATTTTTTTATTGTTATGATATAACATAATATTAAAATTTTTTAAAATTTAATTTAGTCCCGGCGTTAACACTCGGGTTACACACTATGTATCCTGGATTAATCAGCATAGTATTGAGGAACCGGTAGTTAATCAAAACACAACTACCCTTTAAAATATCTAATCATTTTCATAATACAGTATATAAATTGTTTTACATTTATGTCTAGACAGTGAATGATATTGTTTTTACTGATAATTAAATATTAATTCAAAAATAAATAATAAATTGTAATCAATTGCTAAGTTTTCAAATGTTAAATATTTTATTTAATTTTTTTTTTGGTTATGAATTATAATTTTATAGTTATTAATATTTGTTAATTTGTTATTTTTATTTAATAAGTACTGTTTGTACAAATTTTTAATAAAATTTATATTTTGAAAATAGTATTATTATTATTATACTTAAACAATAAACAATAATTAATAAATATCTCGCATTTTTTAAAAATAATATATATTTATAATTTAAATTTCATATTAACTATTTATAATAGCAGTCTAACAATTAATTATATATTTGTTTAATATTTTGAATATTTTTTTATTGTTATGATATAACATAATATTAAAAATTTTTCAAATTATTTAATTAAATTTAGGAAATTTTAATAGTTAATAGTATTACTACTACTAATAATAATAATATTGTATTAATCTTATTTTTATAATTTATAATTATTAACTTTATATTACTTGTAAATAATTACTAATTATTATACTATAATACATATAACAAATAAATTTATAAATAATAAAATATTTTGTAATAATTTAATTATAAAAAAAAATAATAATCATTCAATTAACAAGATTTATGAATTATTATTTAACTATAAAAAATATATTAATGTAATATTAATAATATTAATAAACAGTATATTAAATTACAATTACATTTAAACAATAATTTTTTACCCTGAAATGACATTTCAAATTTTTCTAATTGTTTTAATTGTTTAAATAACAAGTTTATTATGTTTTTTATAGTAATATTTTATTAGTACTGGTATAATAATATTTATAACTATAATATACAGTATTTTTTAAAAAAAAAACATTATTATCTGTTACGCAAACAAAAACTAATTAATATTTATTGTTTTAATGTTTTTTGTTAATAGTTATAAATATTATTATTATTATATTATTATTTATAACTATATATAATGTTTTCAATAATTTATTAATATAAAAAATAAAAGTTTTTATAATTATACTAAAAATGTTTATGTTAACAATATTAATAACATTTATTTCAAGTATCTATTGTTATAATAATAATAATAATAATAATATTGATTATAAAAACAATGTAAAAATAATTAGTAGTAGTAGTAGCCAGGTCAACAGTGAATTATCTATTGATGGTATACCACGTCAATGCTATATAAATATTAGTAGCCAGGTTGTTCAATGTAAATTGGAAAAATTAATTGATAAAATTAATCCGGATACAAAAAATTTACAAACACTATGCTGTATGTTTGGCATCAATTACGATTGTCTAATTAATAGTGCCCAGGTAATTTAGAAAAACAAACATTAATATAAATGATTGATTAACTATATTAACCTAATTTTAGCTATAATTAACTAATTAATTGATTTTTAAAAATAATTGATAATAAAAATAAAACAATTTCTATGTTACTATTAGTTTTATATTTTTATCATTATAATAGTTATAATATTTATTCAATAATTTAATTAATTATAGTTTAATAACTAAATATTTACATAATTTTTATAAGTAATTATTTTTGAAATATATTATTATATTTTGTAAAAATTAACAAAATTAATAGTTATTATTGATTTTATTATTATCATTAATATATTATTATTAATAATAATAGTAAAGTTAATTAATATTTTATAGAAATTAATTAATTGATAAACTTTCTAAAAAAATTGCTGAAAACTTTATTAAATTTTAAAAAAAATCTATCTCTAATTGTATTTAAAATTTACTATTTATTAATTTTTTTTTCAAAAAATACCAGACATTATGCAATGCCGATGACTTTACTGTATGTAATACAACATTAACTAAACAAAAATGGCTTAAATACGATACGGTATGTCATGATTATCCATATATTGCCAATAGACACGACTGTCCATCAAATGCACTAACAATACCATCAAATATTATTACTACAATAATTACTACATTGTTAGTAATTTTATCAAAGCTATAATTATTTATTTTTGTTTAATAATTTAGCTATAATAAAAAATTTTAATAAATTTTATACATATATTATTAGATATTTAAAAAAAACTATATTTTATTTATTAATTTTAAATTTAAATAATAAAATGTTTATAAAAAAAAAACTTTATAGAAATACTGTATAAATTAAACTTTTATATTATTATTATTATTTAAAACTAAATTTTTGTTCAATAAAATTATAAATACATAAACAAGTCGTCCAATTATTGGTCGCTACTTTCCCGTCGGGCTTTTGTGGATACATTGACTGACCGACCGACCGATTACAGCATCGATATGTCCGACAGTTTGTGAAAGCCGTTCATTGATTGGCAGATCAATGTAGACATCATTTGTTTTTTTGGGCTATTCTTTGCCATCAACTGTTGCTCCAATTTTCTGCTCCAATACTAGCGAAGTGGCCGGTTATTGGTCACCAACGACAGGTGTTGTCGGGTTTTGTTGCTGGCCATCGTCACGACCACCGCCGGCCAGCGCAGGCAGATCTGGAGTTGATGGCGGCGATTGGTTCAGTTGGCTGTCCAACGACTTGTCCACCCAATCTTCATCTACACTGATGTGCAGATTGACTCACGGATGGATTAGTTGAGACTCGTGAGCGAAAGCAATCTTATTGATGATACGTCTGTCCATTTCGTGTTTGATACTACGGGCCAGGAATTACTATTACTACGTAATATCAATCGGCAATCATACTGACAACACGCTTATCTCAAGTCGTATAGTTGGTCTCGTAATCGGCTAACAGCCGACATAGCCGTTGATTGTCTTGTTTACAGTAGTCGATTGGTTTGTATCCGATTTCGTTGTCCATCAGCGGATTGGCCGAGCGTTTGATCAACAGCTGGACGATCAATAAATCCGTAAATTCCGATTCGCGTTCAATAGCTATACGCATAAAGTCGAGTCCGTACTGATAGGATAGCTTCTGGCTATCACTGGCCAGAAAGTAGTCGTCGGTATCGTCGATATCGGCTCCGGCGTCCAGTAGTGCTTTGCAAATATCAGTCCAGCCGTTAATAGCGGCCAATTGTAACGGTGTCCAACATAACTGATGGCCACAGTTGTTGATATCGGCAATGGATTTGTCGGCAATCATTTGTCTGACCAGTTAGTAGTCACCGCGTTTGACAGCGTCCAACAGTTTCTGCTTTTTCGGTGTGTTCGGGCATCGGCCGCCACTATCGCCGCCGCCGCGGGCACCAATATCGCCGTTCTAGTCATCGATACGCAAACAGTGAACCGCACGTAACGGCGATGATAACCATAGACAGGAGTAATGATAGCCACCTAAAGCACAGTTAATACACAGGTGGCCAACGATATATGGCTGTCCACGCTTTGGTCACCGCCGCCGATGACAACGACAATCATCGGTGGTCGCCGATAACAACCAATTGTATTATAAACTGTACACTAAAACTACAAGTCATACTTCATAAACATAGGCCACTATATAAATAAATAAAATATATAATATTCTGTAATAATATTTTTAGGTGTAAAGTACAGTATAGAGTATAGTTAGTATAGTAGTGTATGTAAAACCCTTAATAAACCCATTATAGCTAACAAATTATATAACTGTGTGTTTGAGATATAATATACAAAACTATTCAAAAAAAGATATATAAATTTATATACTGTATATATATATTATAATTAAAATTAAAAATGCAAATTAATTAATTAATAATTTATGAAAAATATATTTATTAAACAAAAACATAAATACAATTAGTTTCATATATTTAATATTTATATATATATACTGTATATTAAATATATGAAATTGTATTTATATAATATAATAAAATAATAAAATAAACACATTTTTTAAGCAAATATAGGCTTGGATTGTATGATTTAATTATTAGTATTAGTAAACCATATATTAAATATTGTTTAATTAATTAAATTAATATTTTAAAATTAGTATTAGTAAAATTAATTAAATATGGTTTTAACAATTAGTTATATATATATATTTATTATATTATATATTTAAGTGTATAACTAATTGTAATTATGCTTTTGTTTAAAAATATATGATATAAATATAATCAATATAAATAACAAATTTTGATATAATTTAATGTTAAATATTTTTAAAATATTTATAAAAAAAACAAAAATCATAAATATATATATATATATATAATAAAATAAATATAAAAGTTTTCTAACAATTTGTAGTTATTATATATACAATATATATTTAAAAAACAATATTAATATATTTGTTTTTATTTTATTGTAAATATAATTCATATTAAAAAACATTTATAAAAATTAATTTATAATTATATAATATTTGATTGACTATTGATATATAAATGATAATAAATATATTGTGTGTAAATATATAGTACAGTAGATATAAAATACAAAATATATAAATTAAAAAAATATTTATATAATTTTATATTTGATTTAAATTTTAATCAAACAATTTAAATAATTTTATTTATGTATAATTTTTTTGTTGAGTAATATTATTATTAGAAATTTACTTATTTAAATAATTTAAAAAATACTGTAATTTTAGTACAAAAAGTTTTTTTTGTTTGATAAGATATTTTTCATTTATTATAATTTCAATTATTATTATTATTATTATATTTATGTTTTTATAATGAAAAGAGAGAGAGAGAGAGAGAGAGAGAGAGAGAGAGAGAGAGAGAGAGAGAGAGAGAGACTATACATACACTTACATAGAAATAATAGACTAGTTTTTAATAATTATAGGATTTATTAAAAATAATAATAATAAATATTTAACAAACAAAAATTGAAAATTTCACAAAAAATGTTTCACAAATTTAATTTCAATGCTTTCATTTTTTAAAATAAATATATATAATATTATTCTAATTTATGATAATTATAATAGTTATGTTATGGCTATTGTTTTTAATAATATTTTAATTGATAAAAAATAAAATAAAAACATTTAATTTTCTTCAAATAAGTTTTTACAAATATTTATTAAATGATAATCATTTTGTTAGGTTTTTTTTTGTTGTTGTCGATATATTTAGTTTAAATTTTTAAAATATATTTATTATAGTGTTTTGTTGTAAAATGATTTTTAAAGATATCTTTATATTTATAGTGTATATCTGTATAAATGTAAACTTTTTTCAAATATATATATCATTATAAATCAATTGTATTCAAAGTTTTATGACTGAAAAAAAATTAATATTAATAAGTATATCAATATATATACTGTTTGTATAATACTTTTACAAAAAAAAATATTTAATATTTTAATATAAATATATAGTATATATATATATATATAATAATTGAACACAAAAAAAATTGATAAATGTTAGCACAAAAAACAAAACAAAAATATAATTATATGTTATTTTTGTTTTGAAATAATAAAATATTTAAAATAGTAATTATACAAAAAAAATAATTAATTAAATATTAAGTTAGATATCATTTACTAGATATTCATACAAATAAAAATTATATATATTTTTTAAGTTATGTCACTAATTGCAAAATGTTTGGACAGAAAAATAATAATAATTATGATTAATAATAATTAGTAATTAATTACAAAAAAAAATATAAATAATTTAATTGTATTTCAATCAAAAAACAAAAAATACATTTTAATTGAAAACTAAGAAAAAACAAATTTATATATAAATATATTATATATATTTCTAAATATATTAAAACAAAAAATAATTAACTCTTTTTATCTAATATTATAAAACCAAAAAAAAAAATACTATTAAAAAACATTTATAATCTATAATAAAAAATAGTATTAGAAATAAATATTATATAAGTTTGACGAGAAATATACAGCGGAAAGGGAGGATACGGCGGAAAGGTATACTAATCTTTGGTAGACGGCATACAAACACAATTCAGCTTAACTTTCCAATCAATCAATACGCCGGGCATACCTTTGATCGCTGACTCAATAAATACATGGCCGCGATATAGCCGATTACGGAGTTCGGTACCGTCGCAAACGTTATCGCAACGTAACACTCGCCACTTGAGGTGACAATTCAATTGTTCGCATTGGCGCTTAATTTCATCTGACTTCCACTTAATGTCCCGATCGGTCACATTAAGCACACGACTGACTATAATATGGATATTTGGTTTGTACTTATCAATCGATTTGTTGATAATCGCCAATCGTTTCGCTTCTTTACTCATCTCTTTTATCTGTTTTTTCTCTAACTTTTTCTTCTTCTTCTCGTCATTCGAGTCTTTGGAGTTCGAGCAGCCCATGGCTGATACAACAGATGATATTAGAGAAAAAAGTTATTCAAAGAAGTAATCTTAACCGAAATGAATATGAATTTAAATAATTTTTTTTTTTTGAAAATTACGTTATAATAATTTAATTTATTTATAATAATTAATTCACGTTATTAATGTAAAAAAAAATTAATAATCGTTTAAAAAATTTCTTACGCGCTATTTCTTCAATAAAATTAATTTTAATTTATATCCTATTACTGTATAAATTAATTATTTAATAAATTTGTATTCAATCATTACTAAACATTAATATACATTGCATTTTAATATCAAAAAAATTAACTTAATAAAATAAACAACTTTAGTCATGAGAGGTATCAAATGAATCAGTATAACAAAATCTACTTAACTATGGCCATGTGAGGTATCAAATGAATCAGTATAACAAAATAAACTTAACTATGGCCATGTGAGGTATCAAATGAATCAGTATAACAAAATAAATTCAACTATAGCTATGTAGGGTATAAAATAATTTAGTATAACCAAATATACGCAATTATAGTTATATAAGGACAAATGAATAAGTATAACAAAATAAACTTAACTATAGTTATGTTATGTATAAAATGAATTAGTAGAACAAAATCTACTTAACTATAGTTATATAATATCTCAAATAAATCAGTATAACAAAATAAACTTAACTATGGCCATGTGAGGTATCAAATGAATCAGTATAACAAAATAAATTCAACTATAGCTATGTGGGGTATCAAATAATTTAGTATAACCAAATATACGCAATTATAGTTATATAAGGACTCAAATGAATAATTATAACAAAATAAACTTAACTATAGTTATGTTATGTATCAAATGAATCAGTATAACAAAATAAACTTAATTATGGCCATGTGAGGTATCAAATGAATCAGAATAACAAAATAAATTCAACTATAGCTATGTGGGGTATCAAATAATTTAGTATAACCAAATATACGCAATTATAGTTATATAAGGACTCAAATGAATAAGTATAACAAAATAAACTTAACTATAGTTATGTGGGATATCAAATGAATCAGTATAAGATAAACTTAACTATAGTCATGTGAGGTATCAAATGAATTAGTATCAAAAAATAAATTCAACTATAGCTATGTGGGGTATCAAATAATTTAGTATAACCAAATATACGCAATTATAGTTATATAAGGACTCAAATGAATAAGTATAACAAAATAAACTTAATTATAGTTATGTGGGATATCAAATGAATCAGTATAAGATAAACTTAACTATAGTCATGTGAGGTATCAAATGAATTAGTATCAAAAAATAAATTCAACTATAGCTATGTGGGGTATCAAATAATTTAGTATAACCAAATATACTAACTATAGTCATGTGAGGTATCAAATGAATCAGTATAACAAAATAAATTCAACTATAGCTATGTGGCGTATCAAATAATTTAGTATAACCAAATATACGCAATTATAGTTATATAAGGACTCAAATGAATAAGTATAACAAAATAAACTTAACTATAGTTATGTTATGTATAAAATGAATCAGTAGAACAAAATCTACTTAACTATGGCCATGTGAGGTATCAAATGAATCAGAATAACAAAATAAATTCAACTATAGCTATGTGGGGTATCAAATAATTTAGTATAACCAAATATACGCAATTATAGTTATATAAGGACTCAAATGAATAATTATAACAAAATAAACTTAACTATAGTTATGTTATGTATCAAATGAATCAGTATAACAAAATAAACTTAATTATGCCCATGTGAGGTATCAAATGAATCAGAATAACAAAATAAATTCAACTATAGCTATGTGGGGTATCAAATAATTTAGTATAACCAAATATACGCAATTATAGTTATATAAGGACACGAATGAATAAGTATAACAAAATAAACTTAACTATAGTTATGTGGGGTATCAAATGAATCAGTATAAGAAACTTAACTATAGTCATGTGAGGTATCAAATGAATTAGTATCAAAAAATATACTCATCTTAAGTCATGTGAGGTATCAAATGAATCAGTAAAACAAAATATACTCAGCTATGGCCATGTGAGGTATCAAATGAATCAGTATAACAAAATCTACTTAACTATAGTTATGTTATGTATAAAATGAATCAGTAGAACAAAATCTACTTAACTATAGTTATATAATATCTCAAATGAATCAGTATAACAAGATAAACTTAACTATAGTCATGTGAGGTATCAAAGGAATTAGTATCAAAAAATATACTCAACTAAAGTCATGTGAGGTATCAAATGAATCAGTATAACAAAATAAATTCAACTATAGCTATGTGGGGTATCAAATAATTTAGTATAATCAAATATACGCAATTATAGTTATATAAGGACTCAAATGAATAATTATAACAAAATAAACTTAACTATAGTTATTTTATGTATAAAATGAATCAGTAGAACAAAATCTACTTAACTTTAGTTATATAATATTTCAAATGAATCAGTATAACAAAATATACTCAGCTATGGCCATGTGAGGTATCAAATGAATCAGTTTAACAAAATCTACTTAACTATAGTTATATAATATCTCAAATGAATCAGTATAACAAAATAAATTTAACTATGGCCATTTAGCAATCCAATGAATCAGAATAACAAAATAAATTCAACTATAGCTATGTGGGGTATCAAATAATTTAGTATAACCAAAATAATTTAGTTATATAATCAAATGAATAAGTATAACAAAACTAAACTTAACTATAATATACAAATGAATCAGTATAAGATAAATTATAGTTATATAAGGTATCAAAAAATACTCAAATGAATAAGTATAACAAAATCTAAACTTAACTATAGTTATGTGGGGTATCAAATGAATTAGTATACGCAATTATATTTATATAAGGAGTCAAATGAAAAATATAAACAACTCAAATGAACTATAGTCATGTGAGGTATCAAATGAATCAGTATATCAAAATATACACAACTATGGCCATGTGAGGTATCAAATGAATCAGTATAACAAAATAAACTCAACTATAGTAATATAAGTAGTAATAGTAATATCGCCCGCACACCCTACTGATTAACAAACTGACCGATTACAGCTTCGATATGCACGACAATTTGGTCATCCGTTCATTGATTGGCTCTCAATTGTAGCTTAATTTTACGCTCAAATACTAGCGAAATGACCGGCAGTAGTGCGGTCATTACGGTTGCTGACCACCACTGACGGGGTAGCCGTAGTAGTGGTCGTGTTTTGTTGATAGCAATCGCATTTCGGCTCATGTATTGACGGATCATTATCGTTAAACATTGGACTCATCGGACAGTATTAGGTACCACCACCTATAGGATTGTATTGTTGTTGTTGATTGTTGTCATCAGTTGACCAATCGTTATGTTGTTGCTGGTGGTGGTGGTGATGGTTGTGTTGGTGTTGTTTAGGATTCAGATTGTACAGCATTAGCCGATTGGCCGGAATCAGCGAATAGAGAAACCGTTTGAACGGTTAGTGCGATTTGTTATACGCTGTCGCAGCCGCTGCCGCACGGGTCAGGAAATAGCAAACTTCGTGAAACGATGGCAAAGACGACAACAAAAACGATGGCCTGGCTTTCGGATGTTTTTTAAAACAAAACTGCATTATTCGTCAACTAGTTTACGGGATGGATGGATGGATGGACGGACGGACGGACGGACGGACGGACGGACAGACAGACAGACAGACAGACAGACAGACAGAGGAAAGGTATCATTAGTTTAGTTTTATAAAACATTGAATGGATCCAAGGAATGGATACAATACAACACCGTAGGTCCAGATATCCGAATAAGTGGTAAATACGCCGTCTTTGAGGGCTTCGGGTGACAACCAGCGCACAGGTTATAGACAACAGTCACGTTTTCTTTATAAAAAAATCGGTAATTATTAATACCTAAGCTAATAATAGCCTATCAATTATTATATAGTACACCCCCTAACCTATAGTAGTCGTAATCGTAGATATCGCGAGTCATACCGAAATCGCCAATTTTAGCGGTCAAATCTTCGGCAACCATACAATTTCGTGCGGCCAAATCTCGATGGACAAACTTATGGGCGGCCAGATAGGACATACCGTCGGCAATTTCAACGGCCTTCTAAAATATGTGGACAAATATCGGCACTCGTGGATTAAGGTTTTACTAACCAAATAAAAAAAAATATTATATACTAATCAATCAACAACAACAAAAAAATGACAACTAATCTATACGTCACTATCGGGTCGATTGAGGCGCAGATATGTCTTGAGATCGCCATTAGGCATATATTCCATGAGTACGAGCACCGGGTTTTCAACAGATACCACACCAATCAGTTTGACAATATGGTGACAGTCGACAAAAGATCTGCAAAAAAACAAACAAACCATTAGTCCAATCGGTATATCACTTATCGGGTGGTGACTACCGGTTCCCAGTTAAAGGTCAGGTATCTTACTTCATAATGTTGGCCTCTTTGAGAAAGTTGTCTCTCTGTTGGACACTCTTGTTCTGTGTGTTCAATGTCTTCACAGCACAGGGAATCAGTTTACTGTTTACTGTAAGAGAGATAGAGATAGAGAGAGAGAGAGAGAGAGAGAGAGACAGAGAGAGAGACAGAGATGGTATACCTCATCGAACAGTTGCAATAGTATGGTTAAGACATCGTTGTGGGCCTTCTCTACCTCATCGAACAGTACGACCGCATTGGGACACTCTTTCAGTGCTTTGATCAACTGTCCGCCGTCGTCGTGACCGATATAGCCGGGCGGTGCACCGATAAATTTGGCCACTTCGTGCTTCTCCTGATATTCGGTCATATCTAGTCGTATGAAACCTTTTTTCTCCGATTTTCCGGATACCCGACGAACCGAAAAATTTGAAAACCAGTGGATGTTCGTTATCGTACCAACCGTTCTCTTTGCGTCGTATGGCCTCCGCTACCGTAGTAATGGCCGACTGTTGGTCAACAATAACCTCTTTGATACGATCTTCGAGCGGAAACTTCAATCGTTCCTCTAGTTGTCGCTGTTTCTGGACGTCCGTATAGTTGGTCTAACAGCCGACCCATCCGTTGATTGTCTTGTTTACAGTAGTCGATAGGTTTGTGTCCGTTTTCGTTATCCATCAGTGGATTGGCCGAGCGATTGATAAACAGCTGAACGGTCGGCAACGAGTTGGCCAATAGGGCATAGTTAGGGCAGTTGTACAGCGAAACGACACACGTGTGTACAATAAATCCGTGAATTCAGATTCGCATGACATCGATATACGCATAAAGTCAAGTCCGTAGGATAGCCACTGGGCGCTGAGTAGTCGTCGGTATTGTCGATATCGGCTCCGGCGTCCAGTAGTGCTTTGCAAATATCGGTCAAATGGTTAATAGCGGCCAATTGTAATGGTGTTCAACCTAACTGATGGCGACAGTTGTTGATATCAATGTATTTGTCGGCAATCATTTGTCTGACCAATTCGTAGTCACCGCGTTTGACTGCGTCGAACAGTTTCTGCTCTTTCGGTGTGTTCGGGCGTCGGACACCGCCACCACCATCACCGCGGCCACCAATACTACCGTTCCAGTCATCGATAAGTAAACAATGAACCGGACTTTGAGATGATAACCATCGACGGGAATAATGATAGCCACTTAAAGCACAGCTAACATATGCGGCCAACGATATGGCTTTCCGCGCGTTGGTCGCCGCCGATGATGACGGTATCGGTAATCGCCGGTAACTACCAATAAAAGCGGTTCGCGATGACGACGACGACCAGTGTCTATGATGTCCAGCGGCGGCGATCAGCAGCAGTTGCCGTAGTCTACTTCGGGCGGTCAGAGCTGCCGTTGATGACGACGGCGACGACAGATGTCTTAAACGGCTAACGATTATCATGTGTTAGCAATTGTATAGTCACTGATGGGATCAGTTCACAGATGACACAGACAACAGACAAAACAGTTGTCTTGAGAGGGAAACAACTGAGAGACAGACAGACAGATAGACTGACTGACAGACGGAATACGGAAGAAGTGGTAGTCTTTTGGTTTGTAAAGCAAAACAACAGAAGAATTCGAATACAAAAAAAAATTGAATTCAAACGACAGACAGACTGACTGAATGACTGTTCGATTATCGAAATCGAGTTTTACGTACAGAATATTCGAGAGAAAAAATTTGGCGGTTTTTTTTCATTAATCAATTGTAGTGTACGTGCAGTCAGTCAATCAATGCGTGCGCGCGACAACACATACATACATACAGTGTATAATACAGTCTGTATTATACTGTAAACTACAACTACAAGCATACAAGTCATACTTCACAAACATAGGCCACTAAATAATAATTTAATAAAAAATATTCTATAATATTGTTAGTATACTATACTGTAAACTATTATTAATTAATTTTTATTTAATTTTTATTTAGTGGCCTATGTTTATGAAGTATGACTTGTATGCTTGTAGTTGTAGTGTACTGTACAGTAGAGGTGGGAACCGAAGAGTTTTTTAGAAACCGCAACCGAACCGTATCTCAAAGACAAGAACCGAACCGAACCGAAACCGAAAAATTTGAAAATCCTGAACAGTAACCGAACCGTAACTAAAACTTAGGAACCGAATAAAACCGGAACCGAACCGTAATCTTACAAAGTTAATAATATTAAGGGGGTAAAAAGTGGGCTTAAAATTTAAAAAATTGATTTTAATATTTTTACTTATTGTTATAAAATACGGTAATAATTAAATTAGTATAAGTTATAATTATTATATTTATTATAACATAAACTTATAAATATAATTTCATAACTAAATTAATAATTAATTAAAAATAGAAAAATTTTATTAATAAATATTAATAATTAAAAGTAATAATTAAAAGTTATAAATAATCATTTTTAAATGCTATTATTATATTATTATAAAGTAATAATAGGTAAATAAAAATATTTAATTATATTAACAACAGTATTTCTAAAGATAATTTTATTTGTGCTATTAATTTAAACTCAAATCGGTTTTTAATTAAAACCGTTTTAAATCTAAAAGCGTTTTTAAAACCGAAACCGTTTATAAAACCGGAACCGTTTCTAAAACCGAAACCGCTTTAAAACCGAAAGCTAAACACAAGAACCGCAACCAAACCGGACCTGAAAAACAGGAACCGAACCGAACCGGAAGCGAAACACAAAAACCAAAACCGTGATAAAGCCGTTTCGGTTCTGGTTTTATGAAACCGAACCGTTTCGGTTCCATCCTCTACTGTACAGTATAATACAGTCTATAAATTATATACTAGACTATATATTAATTATATATTATAGACTATATTAGACTCTATATTATAAAGTGTATGTATGTATCAAATATTATTATTTATGAATTAAATTTTATTTAATATAATATTTTTTAAATAAAATAAATCAATTTTATTTTTTATTGTATTTAATTTGATTATGTGATGTGTGATAAATTATTTATAATATTTACAATATTTACAAGTAATTAATAATAATACCCGTAATCCATGTTTTGTTGGTATTATTTTTTTATAACATATTCTCTATTGCTTTCAATTATAGATAAATTACTAATAATTTGTCGATCGTTTTCGGTATAATAATCCAATCGGACTGTCCATTCAGCTATTGTATTAACATTTATAGTTGATATTAATTTTATGAATGAATTAAATTTGTCATCTATAGGCTTATCCCATGAATAGCCCCACCGATACCACTGCCTGAAGACATAATAGCTATAGATTCGGCCGTTTGGTGACAACAATTGACACAAATTGTTGTCGTCGTTATCATTGCTTACGACATCATTACCAGTGATTATGACGACTGTCATCGACAACAACAGTGTTATTATTATCATTAACCATATGATGACCACCGATGATGATAACGATGACGACCACAAACATTGTAAACGATTACATAAATAGTTGTTATTATTATTGTAATACATATTTAAGAATAAACTAAATGAATATTTTAATAAATAAATGTTTAAAATATAATATATTTAGTAATTATTAATTAGTTATTTGAATTACTAATCATATGTTTTAATTGTTAATATGAAAGTTTAAATATTATTTCTTTCATAAGATTTTTAATTAGTTATGGTAATTTTAATAATAATAAAATCATATTTTTTTAATTAATATTAATTTAATTGATTATAATCTATAGAGAAGTATATAATATCATAATAAGTATATTTAATTTAAAATATCGTATAAACTAATATACAGATAATATATAATTTTTTTTAATCTAATAAAACATATTTTTCAAAATCTATATACTAATTAATTTGCAATTATATTTTTTAATTTTATTAATAAATCATTGAATTCAATAAATAATATTTTTAAAAAAAATTATTAATAAATTATTTAATTTAAAAATTGATAATAATCTAAATAATAATTTTTTTAATGAATTTTTACTAAATATTTTTACTTTAACTTCAATTTCTATAAATCAATGATTAGTTTTTCATTGAAATACCATACGATTTAAATCATTATTTTTTTATTGATATTTTTATTGAGTAATACTAATGACAGTCAATGACAGTAAAGATCATAACAGATTAATAGCAAAAATATTATAATAAATTTAAATAATAATAAAAAAAAGTTTGTTTACAGAAATAGATTTAATAGAAAAACAAAATAAAACAAAAATCAATTAAGAAATGAAAATAATTGAGTGATTTATTAATAAAAGAAAAATATTTATATATTAATATTATCTATAATTTTGATGATTTATTACTAATATTTCAATATTGAATTCAATTCCCGGCTATTAATAGTCGATTCATTTGAAGTGCCAAACGGTTTCAACAATTGTTGTGTTTGTTGTCGATGTCTATTACGGATCATTACTAAGTCAATGACAATAAATATAAAACCACTAAATAGCAGAATAATTAATATTATTACTAATATTTCATGGCTAGTGTTGTCGGTCACCGCAACCAACTGTTCCAACAATTCATAGTCTAAGTGATCGATAAGAAAATCGGATCGACTCGGAAGCAATGATTCATTGCATACAATTTGTGAATAAAATATTGTTATCATAAAAAATGGTTGAAAATGGCGAGAAGTAAATAGAATATTATTAATAAAATTCAGTGATGTTAAAAAATGGTTTAAAATTGCGAGAAATAAACATTATATTATTAATAAAATTCAGTGATGTTAAAAAATGGTTAAAAATGGCGAGAAGTAAACAGTATATTATTAATAAAATTAAGTGGTGTTAAAAAATGGTTAGAAATGGCGAGAAGTAAATAGAATATTATTAATAAAATTTAGTGATGTTTAGTGTGTTTAGTCTATTGAGCGGTGTTGTGTTGGCCAATGAATTGAGCGGTGCTGTGTTGACCAGTGGAATGGGTTGTGGTTGTGGACAGTCTATGACACACAGTACAACAATGTGTTGTCAACAGTGTAGTGCCAACGGTGCAGTGGTGATGTGGATGTGGACGTCTGGTCCTTCGGTGTCCACACAATACAGTAAATAAATTAGACTGACCTAAATATTTATTCTGATGAGTGTTGGAAGTGGAGTCAGCGGTTCAGTCAGTCAATAGTATGACATCAATGGTACTTCATCAATGGTACGACAGTCAATGTTACGTCAGTCAATGGTACGGCAATTA